TATATTTGCATTTATTTGATTTTTTAAAATAGATTTTTAGGCTTTATTATGCTAATAGGTGCAATAAATGCAATAAGTATAAGTAGTAAGTACAATAAAAATAAATAAATAATAGGACATATGCTTTAATGATGAGAAGCAAAGTATTCTACACTGCAATATTTTTTCAGTCACAATTCTGATTTATGAAGATTAAGGATTTAAGTCATTTTTGCATCAATAAATGTTCCTGTTCATGTATTAATCTGCTAGTTATTCCCTTGAGACACTGATCGTCACTGAATCAGAAAAGAACGAAATATTCTCATGTGATTTTGCTGTTTTTCCTTGCTCTTGGATGAGATTTAAAATTAAACTAAATGTTCACTAGTTCGTTTTTCTATTCACAAATCGGTTCACTGACCACATCGGTTCACTTGTATTTATAATTACTGTATCCGTGGGTGTAATTACTAGACGCGCGTGTAAAAACTTTGTCCTTTTAATTATCACAACCCAAACTGATGCATTGCGAATAAAACAAGTTGAACTAATGCACTGTTACCCCCTTCGTTTCCGTCCCCTTTAAACGGGGAGGTGCTCCGGTGCTCACCCCAGCCCAGGACTCTCCGCTGCGCTCCGGGAGGTGTGCACTGGAGGGAGTTTGGACTGGTTTAGAGCGGACGCGTCGGAAACCTCCCCTGAGGGGCCCCATGTAATTCGATGCATGCTGTTAAAGCTTAGAGTATATTGTCTTCCCTTTTGCTTATGAAGCCTCCACCCACCGGCCCACCCTACATTTAGCGGATCATGTGACTCGGGGTAAGTCATTTGCAAGTACAACAGTTCTCTGTGCGCTCTCATTCATTTCCTGAGAACTGCCTGAGCCGAGCAGCTGAGAGGCAGAAGGGGAGGGAGCTGCTCACTCACATACACTCACTCACACACATTATCGCACACACACTCACTCACACACATACACACGTACATACGCGCAGAGTGAGAGGAGAGAAGAGGAGAGGAGGAGACGAGACAGAGAGGACTGTAGAAAGGAAAACAGTCTCCTAGTCTCCACGGCTCTGCAGCTTCTGACAAGGTCTGTGCAATTTTCTTGTCCTGTTCCTCTGCTGGCTGCTGCTATGTGCTTCATTTGTCACGTTGCTGGGCTTTGTGCTTGTGTTGAATGCGTTTCGTCCAGCTGTCATTGCTCTGTCAAAGCAAATGACAACTCAGATCACCTATAGTATTGTGCTTGGTGTTTGACAGTAGAGAAGGTAGTGGGGGGGGACACAAGAGATCCTGCATGTAGCTGACTGGACAACTCTTTATTGTCAGTGTCAATTAATAAGCTGTCATAAAAGAGGCCAAAAAAAAGAGAGCTGATTTTTATATACTCGGGACAACCGGGGACATGGGCAGCATCCACACTTTTACAGCGCAGGCACCTCCTGTGTTTCAAGTCTCTTATCTCTCACAAGTCCAATGCAACTTCAAACATATCTGCTTATCAGTGAAGGAGTGTTGTAGAATAACACTGACTGAATGTCTTAGTGGGGGATGTGAGTGTGACTGCGCTGCAAAAACTCTCGGCACTTCTCAGTGGAAAAAAAAGTTTGCTGCTTGTCAGAGTTTCGTGCATGTCTTAAGAGAGTTGTGTGCGTGTGGGTGTGCATTTGTGTGCAGCGTTATGGTGTGTGTGTGTGTGTGTCTGTGTGTGAAAGAGAGAGACGGGCTTGTTTGTCTACTGTAGCAGCTTAGAAACAGAGGAACGAGGCTGTTAGGAATGGGTTAAACATTAGGAGGGTTGGATAGCGGAGGAAGGACACTCGTGTGTGTGTATATATGAGTGTGTGTGTGTGTGTGTGTGTGTGTGTGTGTGTGTGTGTGTGTGTGTGTGTGTGTGTGTGTGTGTGTGTGTGTGTGTGTGTGTGTGTGTGTGTGGGAGTGTTGCAGGGGTGGTGTCTTGGATGTCATCGCCAGCGCTCTCACTTCCAGGGTAATAGTCATTGGTATTGATGGGTGGCTGTCACAGGGGCAGAGAGCCACCAGGCTGGAGAGAGTGGCCGGGGGCTGGCCCTTGGCTGTTATTTTCAATTACAGGGGACCAGGGCAGAGCTGACAGCAAAGGCATTTGTACATCCAGAGAGGGGGGAGGACGAGGAGGAGGGGGGAGTATGTGTGTGGAGAGAGTGGGAGGGAAGGAGAGAGAAAGGTGGTGGTGGGGATGGGGGTGGTAGAGACTCTGGCCTCTGCTCCTGGGTTTGATGTGGAAACTAAGCACTGACCTGTGTGACTTTACCCTAGCGATGTGGAGAGGCCCTACCTTGCCTTTAACTATGCGTCAGCCCTAGGGTATTTGTATGTGTTTATAAGTGGGGTCTCTCTCTCTGTCCATCCATATATATATGTGTGTGTGTATATATATATATATATATATATAGCAGACATATATATGTGTGTGTGGATGTGTGAGGATGAGACCCCCTGCAGCTCTGCAGCTCCTTGGTGTTGAGCGAGGGAGATTAGTGCCCATTTAAAGTATCGCTTAAATCCATGTACAATAAGGCCTTCTGCCTGTGCACGAATAAGCAGGCTGATATCACACATGTAGAGCAGACTTTCGACACTGTGTGTAAACGGCAAAGAATCACATTAGATGCCTGAAAGTGTCTCTTTACAGCACACAAACATCTGCACGTCTTGATCATCCAAATCACGTAAGTCTGCAATGTCACGGATCTGAAGGCTTATTTGTGAAAACAGTATTTATGATCTGGAAAGAAATTTGAAAATAAACTTTTTAAGGTTAATTACTGTAGCACTGAACCACATCTGTGGTCAGAGTGCCATTGTAAGCACTAGATAATGTAGCTATAATTAGGGGGTTCAGTGTATGTATGAACAGGTCTTCAACAGAAAGTCTTTAAGCTGGATCATCCCTGAGGCAATGGCCACAATAACTGGTTAACATTTTAAAATGCATGACTTTTGCTGTGTCTTTACCCAGCGTTCACAGTACGCCTGGATTATGAAGCAGTGTAGTGGACTGAGGAAAACAGAGACTTTGCAGTCCAGGTCCCGAAGTCTCCATCACATGCCCACTTTGCTGTTGATGCTAGAAGCCTTTGTACATTCTGTATTTGATCATGCTACTGCTGCCTGCATGTAAGGGAAGCCTGCACAGTGCTTGTGATATATTGTCTTAATCAAGATCATCTTCTTGCTGAAACACAGTCAGAGCCTGTATTTCTGTAAAAATGACTTCATTGACTGCTAAAGTATTAACTTCACTGACAACACTACTCACTTCAGTGTAGCATATAATAATGTGGTGAACTGAGAACAGTTCAAATATAGTACATTTAGTACATATAGTACAATGTAGTACATTTGGATGATAACAGAAGAGTTAAATGACCTGTCTGAATGTTTATCATGTAAAGGTCACTTTACATGATAAACAGGTCAGTGTTCCTTGTGACTTAATTCAGACATTCAGATAGCAGTAACAAAAAAAAAGAAGAAAAAGAAATGTTGACCAGTTAGTGTATATATTTTTAATGTTTACCCACGTCCACTAAAGCAACATGCAACCTGCACTAGCTGGTTTGACAGCAGTATCGAAAGGATGTTGCTGTTTGTGGCTTACTGTGAGGATGAATGTTTAGCTAGAAAAAATGAGTGGGTTAGTAAAAGGTCATGGTTTGGATTCAAAATGACTGTTTAGCACTTTTGCGTCACAGCAAGAAAGTTTGGGCTTGAACCTGTCGGTGTCCTTTCTGTCTCGATCTTGCGTATTCTGTCTGTGACTTCATGGGTTTTCTCCAGATGCTCTGTATCTTCCCACAGTCCAAAAAGATGCTTGATATAAGTGTTGATTTCAAAGTCGGTTGTACAGGTGAGCGTGAGTGTGAAAGGCTGTTAGGGTCTTTTTGTTAGACCTTTGATGGACTGGAGACCCCAGCAGGCAAAAAGCAAGGACTGTAATTCTGTCCAGTCTATGATCTGGAGACCCCCTGGTTCTCCATGAAACTAGCTGGAAAAATGATTACAGTGGATATATTGGTGTCTCTTCAATGCCCTGTTTATAGTAATAACTAAGAGTTCAAGAACAATGATGGCAGTGGCTGTCCGTTAAAAAACTGGGAACTGACACTTGTCTTCGGTGTTCAAATTTACTTTAATCATCCATCCACCCATCGCTGTATGTACTTTTTTTTTATTCATCTTTGACATTTGCTTCTGAAGGACAGCAAGCATAACTCTTGCAACTTGCAGACTGCTCTGAAAATTTACTTATTTTGTTTTGGGGTGTTTCCTTATTTTTTTTATTTTCTAGTTTTTTGCTTGAAACATCAGGTTTTCCCACAAATAGACTTTACATAGATATCGGCAGGCTGTACAGATATTTTAATGTCTCATGACTCATTTTAGCATTTTTGTGATACTTATCGTCTGTCTGAAAGGACGATATACATCATTATTGTGCAAGTGGACAATCATCTCGCTCTTATTTTGAAGGTTCAGTTGTTACTAACCACCTAGCCCCATCCTTCCTGTGTCATGCTTTGCTGGTTTACTGCTGTGCTGACAAAATTATTCAGCTGCTTTGCTCTCATCCCGGGCATCATCTTGGATGGCAGCTGCCCATATTGGTGTGGGGAGATCTGGAGATCCACTGTAAGTTGGAGAGCCACTTTTACTGAGACCTGCAGTATTTGGAGACTGCTGCATGTGTCACTACTACAGTTGGAGCCCATCCAGTTGTGGTAGGTGAAAGAAACACTGGAGAGGCAGCTGATTAAAATGCTCAACATGTCAGGTTAAATATTTGCATTTATAAATGGTATTCTTTAGCATACCTGTGCCTGCTTTTGAGTGCACCCAACCCCTGAAACCCACCGCTGCTGTCACAAATAGAATGCAGATCTTGAGAGCACACCGACTATGCCAACATTGACATGAACGATTTGATGTCTCGCGCGTCTTGCTGTTTTCCTCCACAACTGTATAAAGCTGGTGCTGCCAATCTGATTCCTTCAGTAGCTCAACCCCCACCCCAAGACATGGTCCAAAGGCTTACGATAAGGATCAGTACAGGTGGGGGGGACTCAATTAAAAAGCCAATCACCAACGGATAGACTCTATCTGTCCATCAACACCGCTCTGCCCAGGATATTTAATTGCTCCGCAGGATTCCCCCCTTTAAAGGCAACCTCTGTCAGCCACGTATCAGGACGCACAAATTGGCTGCTTGTTGACAGATCAAATCTTTCAGGAAGATGTGCTTTGCTCTGGTTTGTTCATGCTAACAACACATAGGCTCAAATTTGTATTTAAGAAGATGAAATTTCCTGCATTAGGGCTAATAAACTGGGTTAACTGCTGCCATATTGACTGACTGCTCATTGATCCAAGTGGGTGTTATTGAGTGTATCAGCACTGATTGCAGATAGACTGCAGCGCACTATATGGCTGGATTAATGTGGGTCTCTACTGTAATCCAAGGCCAGGGTGAGAGGAAAATTAGAGAGGTTAGAGTATGGACCCAATATATAACATACAGATCCAGTTTCCGAAAATTGCTTCTCATCTCTCGAGCTCTCAATCCAGGATATGTTGGCACCTTCTTACATCAAACTATCATGTGAGCCAAAAAAGAAAACGCAAAAGCTGATTCAATTAAAGGAAAGAGAAAGGAATCGCTGTGTCGCTTCGTCGTTCATCCAGCGGTGGCTGTCATGAACTTACTGTGAGCGACATTAAAAAACAAAAAGAAATATTTGTAGGTGATGTTAGTGAGCTGAAGTCCCTATACTGGTATTTCATAATCCTAGAAATGACAAAATGTTCTTTCCCTTTGCACATTCTCTTGTGGATTCAACCTTCGACCCGAGTGTCCAGCCCCCGTTTGTTTACCAAATTAAGTTAAGGGTGTACACAGAGTGCAAGAGCATGTGTGTTTAGTGAGCAGAAAGAGAGGGGTGAGAGAGAGAGAGAGAGAGAGAGAAAGCACGGAAAGTATTGTGCAACAGCCAGGGACTCTGAGGTTGATAGTATAAATAGTGAAGAAAAAAAATCAGAAGGCTCTACAATCTAACATGAAAGATTCGAGCTTGTCCAAGATCATTTTAAGCATTGTTAACCTCATCCCTGGTTGTATACTTATAAGGAGTCTCCTATTGTTAAAGCTATCGTGGGGAACCAAGTTTTTATTTTGATAGAGCAAAAAACGTATTAAGACAGGCAGATTTTTTCAAATGATGTCTGACCGGTGTATTGATCCAAGTTTTTTTTTTCTTTTTTCCTTTTGAGTAATGACACAATCGCTAGAGCAGCACACTCACTGCTTACTGGAAGTGACTCATGTTGCAGAGCTTGCCCCCAGACTCTGATTTGAGGTCGCTCGACATGTTTCCATGGCTAGGATAGAAAGGTATGTCAGTGGAAGGCCCGTCTATAGGCGATGACGTTTCCTCTTTCAAACTAGCGTGCGATTGATTTTAGCCAAATATGGCTGTTAAAGGAGGAGAGAAGAAAAGGAAGGAAGCCAAGAAAGAAGGATGGGAGAGTATTCAAAGTCAGCATTTTCAGTCTGTTTTGGATCATTTCTGAGACTTTCCCCTTCACAGAATCTTTTGGGAGTTGCTTCTCTCTATCCTCCATGCAGATGGTTTCTACAGACCTGTGTAAGGATGCTGCGTGGATCACTGTGAACTTTGTTTCCAGTTGTACTGTAGGTCAACTGTTAGGAAACGAAATTATGTAAACAGCATGTGGAATCCATTTGGAGGGCTGTGGCATTTCTACACAGCTGAATTTAGGCTCCTACTACAGGCCATAGCTCTACTCAATTAGCTGCTTCAGCCAGGTATCAACATGGCACAGCGTCGGCTTAAAAAGAGAGGAGCAGTAATCGAAGTGAAGGCGTGAGTAGATGAGTAATAGAGGTAAACACAGCTGCTGGCTTTTATTGAGTGTTATTGGAGAGCTGGAATGGGTCAAACCAAGGGGAAAAACTCGGTGAGCGAAAATAGCTGCGCGCATTTGATGTAATAAGTGTCAGTGTGTTGGAATGTTTTGCTTGGTCCGTTATTGTCAATTTCCATGTGCTGTGCGTTGGGGTGGATTTGGTTGTGTCAGCAAAAAGTAGGGTTAGATAGTCGCGACACTTTGTGAAGCTGCATCAGGACGACTCTGCAAAGGCTATTAAAAAAAAGCCACGAGTAAATTGCCCGTGCGCTCGCATATATGCCTGCATGCAGGCCGCTGTTTGGATGTAAGAGATGGCGAGTGAGAAAAAAGGGCAAAGGAAGACAAGTGAAAAAAAAATAAGAGTGTGTGTTTCACTGTTTGAGATGATATTATTTCTACATGAATTGTTTACAGTAGATACAGTAGTAGATGAGTCACTGTATTGGTGCCTTGGCATGCTTGCATTGTACAGTTATTGTACAACATCTAGGTCGATCTTTTTGAGAATGCACGTGTGCTGTGATGCATTCGGAAGACAGGCCATTGTGAGCAGTATGTACACAGTGCATATGTTGGGGGAAGGGGAATCACATTCAGACATACATGTTGGAACACAAGTACACACACATACGCTACCAGAGCCTAGGGGATAAGAGACAGTAGCCTACACAAAGAATTCGCCATTAGGGTCGAGTGTGCTGGCATCCCTTCGGGCAGGTGAGAGTGGGTGGGGGTGGTAAACATGTGGGTGGTTAGTGGTGGTAGAGTTGATGGAAAGGATTTTTTTTGTTGCTTTTTTGTGAGGGTACTGAACTAATCCATTAGTTCAGTGTGGGAAATTAGAGCAGGGTTTCACCCTTACACTCATTTTCAAACATGTTGAAAGCAGCTATAACTTCTTCACGAGCGCTGAGAAATGGCAAAATACCACAAGGTTCACTTGCTTAACACCTTTACAACACTGAGAACGCTTTATATTTCCCTTCTATGGCGGCCTCCCACTGTAAAGCATCAATAAAAATATATTCACCGGTTTTTCATTTTTTATTCATGGTGAATGCTGTACAGAAATGTGCCTGCGATGCTGTTCGGTCTTTTCGAGATGATTAGTAAGTACCGCAGTGTGGTCACCTCAACCAAGGACCTGTGAACTGAAAGTAAATAAGAGACTGGTACAGAGGCACCGAGTGCATCTTATATTGATCCACTGCAGTCAACCAGCCTCACAGTATCTCACTCTCGTGTACAGTTTAGCCGTATGGTGGTATAAACATACACAGAATATTAGAGTATCTTCCTGAAAGGCTAAGCCAAGTGCTCCACACGTTTACCCTGGTTTGCTTGGCTCCACCTCCCCCTCCTTTGGTACAAGTGAGGTTTTTGTGTCAGAGGCTATTTTAGATGCACAGCCACTGACCGTGCTGCATTTACTGAGGTGAGTGAGTGTGTATGCATGTGTACGGTGTTTCTGAGAGGTCAGCGGATTATGCTGAAGCAAGAAGACCTCATAGTAAACTATCTCTTCAGGAGCTGTTTTGTGGTGTCTATTTGTGGTTTCCTTAGCACCGAACTCGATCCAGCTTTCATACTGAACATTTAACTTATTCTTTCTCACGATTTCATCAAAATGACCTTCAATTGGACATAAATAGTCTAGAATGGTGTCACAAATTGCTTTGACTTGGGAGTCGGAGCTTGCTTGAGTAATGCCACCTCACTTTAGCGCTGTCACGGTCACAGCTTGTTTAGCTGTTTCTCTGCTGCATTTGAGGCACATGATGCAAGAGGATGTCAGACTCTTCTGTTTACCTCTCTCTGGAGCAATGTGGAGGAGTGTGTGTGTATTTGTGCACGGCTTGTGTGTGCATACACTGTAGGTGTGTGTGGGTGGCTGTTTGTGTTGAATGGGCATCCATATTCTTCTTTCATGGGCAGAGCTGCAGAGTTTATGTGCATGCGTGTCTGCCTCTGAATCTAAGATAAATATGGTTCACGGTGGGTGCAGGCAGAGGTCACGAGGTTTGTGAGTGTCTGCGAGCCAGATTGTAGATCAGAAAAGGGGCTCAGGAAGTCAGCTTTATAAGAAGTGCATTTGAGACACAGACAGAGACACAGACAAACCAGACAGCGACCGACTCTTCTTTTCACTTTGAGTGTTTCCTCTCAGAATAAACAGCTTCTTCATTTCCCACAGTTTCACAAGACCTAGAAGGGACGGAGGTGGTAATGGTGGAGGTGGGGATCTTTCACAATGAAAAAAGTCACTGAAAAAAAAAAAAGATAAAAGATTTCCCTTTTGCCCTGTTGTAACCATATTTTGACCATTTGACTCATTAAACAAGTGGCACTAGGGAAATATCTGGCTAAAGTGTTATTACTTTTGCAACTTGCTTTGGTCTGTCGACTCTTTGGTTTAATTTGATAAGTTTCACTTGATTAAATAAAGCATGTGTCAGTGCCGGTCTGCGACATCTTCTCATTACCTTGAGGAAATTTTATTGTGAACCGCAGATTTGTTATTGTAACCACACTCATAACTGACTTGCTGTATGTCGTGGTCGTTACAAATTATTCTGCCTGTGTGCGTGTGTGCTGGTGAAGGCAGCGTACTTAAGCTGCATCCGGCGACCTCATCCCCCTCATCATGACAGGATTACTGACACAGGATCCCCCTGCCCCTGGCAGAAATAGCAAGGACCCAAGGGCAATTCACCAGAATATGGGAACTTCCGTGGGCCTTACTAGTGTGTGACTCTGTGTCTGTGTGTTGTTTGTGTATTTACATGGGCATCCACTCTATAAATGGAGCCGGTTTCCTCTCAGGTGCTGAGCTGCCTGGCTCAGGGAGGAACACTATGAGTTCACTGCTCTGTGGCTCTCTCTCACACACGGCAGTGTTTCCATAATTTCAGACGTCATTACACTGATTTCTAAGAATTTAATTTGAAGTCTTCAAATGATTTATATCACGGGTACTGCTGTTGCTTCTTTAACTTTACACCGCACAAAGTCGCCAGAGCGCAGGTTTTTCTTTTTAAATTTAATTTGGAACACGACGACTTTTATGGGGAATTTCAAATTGGAGCTTTTCTTGAAGCTGGGTGTAACCATTATGACACTTGGATCAATGAAATCAATACTCATCCTTTGCTAGGCGCAGTCAACCTGTTCACATGCTTTGGGTGTCTATCTCTGGAGCTGTCTCAGGCTACTCTGTATTTGATTTTCCACACATCCGTCCATCCAACCATCCAAAATCCAATTCAGTGTTTTGTGGGGGCTGGACCCTATCCCAGGTGCCATAGGGCGAGAGGCAGGGTGCACCCTGGACCCAATTTGTCACATGGCTTTATTTGGTATTCGGTTTTATGAATTTTTTTTTTAATACACATAATTTTTTTTGATAGGCAGCATCTCAGTGATATCGTTTTTACTCTTAATTTCAAGAATAATCATACAAGGATTAGCCATTAGGTGACACCTCTGTAATCGCTCTGTTTTGTTGCTGCTGACAACCTTAATGTGCCCATTTACCTTTTATTTCTAAAATCATTATGTATTCATCCTGTCTCTGAGTTTTTCCTTTAAATTGATAAGGAGCTGATAAGTTCCCCAAGTTTCACAGTATGTGCCAGAAATAAATCATCCAACACATGATGAGTGTGTTCTGTCTATTAATAACTGTGTACATAAAGCAAGCTGTGTTTTTCCTCTGTGGAACTGATTTATTCGAAGAGGAAATGGGCGGGGTGTTTTGAGGTAAAAGGCATCAGTTGAGTGCATCTTTGAGGGGGTTTTAACCCTAAAGGGAACTTTTTTCCCCCTCTCTCTCTCTTTTTTTTAAAAAGGGTAGGGTGTATAAGCTGTAGTTTATTGCCATTGTGCTTGTCCGCAGTCGGAGAAGTCCACGCTTTTATGAGCAAGGAGGTAGTAGCTCTCTGCTCTCTTGAGCCCCGTTCAAAAATGTCCCAGAAGCATCCAAAAGACTTCACTTGCTGCTCTTGCCAAGGAAAATACGTCTTCTGAAATGGAAATTCTGAGACCATTCACAGAGTGCCAGGAATGATTTTAAAAAAAATAACATGTCCAAAACAGTACATCCAGGCATGAAACCTAAACACACATACATACCTTGGACAATCAACAAACACCATCAACACTGATGGTGTTTCTCTTTTCCTGTCTGGTGAAGGGATTTTATTTAGATAGGAAGTACCTTAATCTCATTTTCATGAGAGACCTTAAAGGGGAACTCTGCTAATTTCAAACGTCAACTCATCGTATTGAAAACAGTTATTTGCCTTATTTGTTTGTAATCTTTATGTCCCTTCTGTGGCTCTGAAGGGAGTTTTTTTCATATCTATCAACATAATCGGTTTTTCAAACATGATGGAACATTGACGCTGTGAAATCCATACTTTAAAATGGTTTGCGCTGCGCACCACTGGTTTGTTACTGCGCCGATGGCTTGTTGGCATGCTGGCCAAAGCAACGATGTGGCTCACCCGCAGCGCGCTGAGAGTTCAACTAATTTGAACTTTGACCGCTGCGCACTGTGACAAACAGCGGCAGACTACCAATCAGGAGCACGGGAACATTTTCCGGTGGCTTCAGGGTCATTTTGGTCATCAACAGCTATATTGTAGCAAGCAGGAATGAGTTGACTGCCCCCCACTCCCAGCAAAAATTAATGCATCAGGCGCTTTTTTACGGTCTTTTACAGTCGCCAGCAGGCACAGAAGGCAATATGGAGGATAAGCTGATGCTGTGTGTCTGAATCCCTTAAACTCCACTTAATTCCCACACAAATTATCATTTGACATCCTGGAGAAAACCCAGGTTCCAAGTAGACATGTCAGTTGTATGTTTTTCCAGCCATGCAATTTGTTGTCAGATATGAATATGAGTTAACACAGCTAAGATTTTCTTTATATACATTCCCCAAATAGCTCTATGGATTTATCTGACTTCTCAGCATCATATCTGGTGTCACTGACGCCTGTGCTGCTGTTCTTCCTTTGAAAGTGCTTGGGTTTTCCATCTATGCATGTGGAAGAACATGGGATTGAGGTGTGCTCTTCAAGGCTTTTGCTGGGGAGGCCTGAGAGCAGAGCCAAGCAGCCAAGTATAACTTAGTCATCTGCAAATGGAAATAAGAAGTTCTCTGATAAAGTGGTCCTGTTTGAATTACATTATTTATGTGGTGTTTAGCTTTGTAGGGCACCACTGACCGGATTGGATTTAAGATTCAAATGTTGAGCCCTTGACCGCATAAAATGCCATAATTTTCCTGGGCGCAGTTACTCTTCGAGTACTAACTCAGCAAGGAACTATGCACATAGCTCTCAAGACCAGAATTAGTTCAACAAGATGAGGTCATGCACAGATGCAGCTTAACATGAAGCAGGCTGAGATTGAAAATCAGCTGTGATTCGGCTGATCCGTCTACTCTGCTAGCAAAAAAAAAATCAGTAGCGTTTATGTCCCAGTGTCTGCAAAAGTATCACTCATCCAAAGCTCTTTGTCTAGCAAGTTTTTTCCCCCCATTTCACCTTCTTTATTGAGAAATTGCTACAGTATTTCTTTACTAGTTTTCAAAAACCTCTGTGCACTGGCTGACTTGAAAGAGAGGAAGTGCTGCAGTGTGCAAGTGAGCTAACAGTCGTAGGTTGGTTATCAGGCCAATGTGTCACATTGGGGTGTCCAGGGGCACAGAACAGGGAAGTGAGCTGCAGCGAAGAGGCCAGCAACAGACAGCCTGGGCAAAACACAGGAAATGCTTATTTCACATCAACTACAGCTCTGTCCCTTTTATCAATAGAACTAGTTAAGCATTTGTTTACATTTTTAAATGCATTTCTTGCTTTGCTTTCTTGCTCTCCCTTTTTTCTTTCTCTCCTCCCTTTGGTAGAGGACTGGATGGGAGGGGGGGTCTGTTGGCATTCTTGCACCGTGTGCTTTGCGCTCGACCGGGCCTTGGCTCATGTCCATATCCCCTCTCTCCCCTCTCTCCCTTCTCTGATTCCCTCCCTTCCTCCTCCCCGCTAAACAACCCCCTCCAACCCCTTCAACTCCCCGTGATTGCTTTCCTAACCACTGCTTTTGCCAGTAACTCTGCGCTCTTCAACCCCCCCCCCGCCATCTCTTCCTTAGCTATCACCTTCCTGAATCCATCCTCATGTAACCCCCCCATCCCCTCCCCCCAATCCCCCCAATTATTCATTACCCCTTCCCTTCCTCTCACCCTTTTCCATCCCTCTTCCATCCCAGCCCGTGGCAGCAGGTCCAGCCTCTGTGACACAGATGCACCCAGTTGCTCTGGGCGTTCGACATGGGAACAAAGCATTGGCGGGGCCCGTCTGTTGCAGTGTGTTACAGGGTGTGTGGCATTTGTGTGTGTGTGTGTGTGTGCTAGTATGTCCACATGAGAGGAAAAAGATGAGAAGGGAAGCAAAGATGGTGCACACAGCCAGATACTAAATCTGGTTTCATTAGCTTGTTTAAGCCCCAACTTTTACTTGAACAACAAAAAAATTAGAAATGTTTTTCCGTGCTCTGAGAGTGAACACCCAGAGACAGTATCAAGCACTTGCACAAAGTCACAGTGTTGTTCACCACCAACCGACATACATCTTTTTTTTTTAATATAATTTTTTTTAGCCAGTCAAGTACTTCCTTGTTAAACTCCATTAATTAACACTGAACAGTTCATAAATAAAATTATTTGATTCACAGTGTTGGCAGCGTGCTAGTAGCACAGGTGTAAAGCTAAAAGACAAGAGTAAGCCACAGAGCTGTTTCTGGCACAGTGGTTTTTAATTTGATATGCTTTCCTTTTGATTTTTTTGATTCTGTATGCAGTGAGGAAATGTGCATGTATAATAAACGAGCGCATGAGGTCAACATTTGGTCTCACAATGTCTAATGTCTTCTAGAGAAGTTTGTCTATTCTAATTTTCAACACTTTTTTTAAGGCAGCCCGCAAGCTTCTTGCTGTTGCCTCAGTGAGTACACAGTCAATAGCCGTCAACAGGGAACTGGGAGATGGTGAACCTCAGGTCATGGATGTTGATGTGCAGTCGGAGTTTCACTTCATTCACTTAAACGCATTAACAGGCACGCAAATAAATTCAAACAATAAAACAAAGACAGCAGAAAATTCACAAATAGGTATACTTGGAGCATTTCTTCTGCTAGAACTGACATCAATCTTCACCTGCTCCCTTTACCTGCTTTTTTTTTTTTACCGAGGGATTGTGGTGGGGACAGGAGGGCTTGTAGGAGGGAGAAATGAGATGCCTCAACACTCCACTGCCCTCCTCTCTCCATCCAACTCCCCCACACACCTGGGATGGCCATTTCATTTCAGAGAGCAGCAAATGGAAAGGTGATCTTAATCTACCCTGTTTCCTTCTAACCCCCCCACCCCTCCCTCTCTCCATCTCCCACACACAGTGCCTCATACCGCTGATGGACAGTGCACTGCTGGTTGCCTGAGCCTGCTGCCAACAGAGCAAATTTAGTGATACTGGATAGGCATTGGTTTATCACCACCAACAAATTCTTTTCAGTTTCAACTCAGTCTTTGTTCTTATCTTTAATCTTTTTGATTTTTGTTTTTGATCTTCAAGCACTAGCTGTTAGAAACAATTCTTTTGTGGGAACGAAAGCGATTGACATTTGACTTCAGTCAAAGGAGTGCGACACGAACTCCTCAACACCCCTCAGTTATCTCATTACTCAGTGTTAGGGCTCCCCGACTGCCGTTAGCTCTTTGGTCATTATCATCACAAGCAAAGGAAAGCAGAGACCATTGATTTCCTATGAATATCCCTCTGCAGGCCAGTTCATTAGGTACTGCTCACAAACCCACTGGATTAAATGGACTTTAGGCACACGGGGAAAAGATTGCTACTTTCAAGAAGTTCTAATTGTTTCGCTTTTTCATCAACAATGGAGTGAGCATTTAGCACAGTGAAGAAAAATGAATGGAAAAGGAAAAAACAACAACTTTTTGATGTAAGAATAGCAAACCCCTCGGGAAAATCAAGTTTTATCTTAAGTGTCTCTGTCTGGAGAGGTTTGGGTTTTTTTTTCTTTTTTTTCTCGTGAATGAGGAGAAAGTGCATTTGCCATAACGGTGGTCATCCCGGGGAAAACAAAACCTCACTTTCTGCCTCTCTTAGTGCACTCCTCTCTTCTTTTCCTCCTCAACACATGGCTTGAGGCTGGACCGAGGCTGCAGCTCCACCCGCCCAGTCGTTACCATGGCAACGCTATCTGGGCCTACCAAGACCTGAAGCCGAAGGACATCCTGGACAACAATACAATAGCAGCACAGCCAGGGTACCTGAGGGACTTAGACCTGTGAGGCGAGATCTGGGGGGTTGCAGATTGAGGGAGTAAATCCTCCCTCTTTCTCTGCCTCCCTCACACACTCAACTCACAAACACAGTCAGGATTAGCCTTTCGCTTGAGACTCTGAGAGGTAGAGGAACAATACTTGGCATTAAACAGTTTTGCTGAAACAATTTTTGCATAAGAAATGTTTTCCGATAGCTGTCTTGAGTGGATACTTTGGTGAGTAAAAAACAAAAACAAAACAAAAACGTTTAGTAATTGAGCAGGCCACGGGGATTTTGTGTGATATGCAATATGTTTAGTGTGGTTAGATGGCCAGGACATAAGGTAAACAGAGATAATGTATGTCATTCATTACCGCCTCAGCTTTTATTCCTCAGAATTAGAATGGTCATGATTGCCGTGGTGCTGCTGACTATGAGGACTGGGCCGCAAACCCCGCTGCTGGTGCCAGCAGTGGAGAGTAATAGAGATGTTTAGGGTCTATTTGCCTTGCTTGCATTCCTCCATGTACTGCTGCTAAAATAATAAGAGGGAGGGTTACCTCAGGTCGGGCCCAAGCTGAGGGATACGGAACATGCATTGTTGTCATTGGCTCCATCTGAGTATCGCTCTTAAAGCCACAGTGCGGAGCTGAGGAGACGGGCACTGCTGCCCACTTTACAGACGCACCGTGCTCAGAGGCAGAGGGATGCGTGGATCTTAAGAAATACTTCAAATAATAATGTGAATTAATGAATATTACATTACACCTTTAGAAGTGCCACAACTTCAAACAGCGCTCATTGTTTTCTCTATATAAGTGGCTAAAGAGGAAAACTCTGAAGACGGGTTGTGTTCATGCCTTTGCTGTTGATTAACTGTATATGAAGCATGTGTTTGTATTCCATTGAAGTCTTAAGAGGATTTCTTTCAGTATTATTAAGTGTTATTAGCCCCACTGCAGCCCACCAGGCAATTTGAAAATCTTTATTATAAAGAAGAGGGACTCACAGTTTGTGTGCGTCTTTTTGTGTGTGTGTGTGTGTGTTTGTGTGTCAGCTTCTGATGATTCTGAAACATGAAGTCATGTCTATTTAAAATGTGTTTATTTCTCAGTGGGTGTGAGGACAACATTGTAGATGTCCATGTGTGAATAAGTGAGTGTGGGACCTGCTTAGTCATGCTAAAACACCCGTCTTACACCTCCTCTGTGTTCCTTCACAGGCAGGCTAAGAAACAGGATGTTAATGCTTGACGGAATGCCTGCAGTCCGAGTCAAAGCCGAGCCCCTGGAATCGGAACAAGGGGTAAGAGAGCAGTTGTTTTCCAGACAATTCCTTTTTTTTTTTCCTGCTTTCCTTTCCTTCTTTCCTCCTCCCGGCAATGGGCTGATAATCACTCCCAGGCCTAAGCAAGTGAGTGACTGAGTGGGGGCTTAGAGGAGTGGTCGGAGAGCATGGTAGTAAGAAAAGAGAAGAGAAGAACCAAGAGGAAGAGAGCCACAGCTGGAGCAGGAATGCACTGGGGGTCTTTTAGGGAGGTGACTGGAGCCAGCGGAGTCCACGCTGGCTGGCTGGACGGGTGGGTGAGGCCTGTGCAGATGTAGCCTCGTCACTACTCTGAGGAGGAGGAGGGTTGCATGGGAAACTAAATCTTATCTATCTCTGCCTGTTCCTGCTTCTTGACATCTCTCAATTTTCCTTTATCCTCCCTCTGGGGTTTCTCACAAAAACACATGCACACATTAATACAGGCAGACAAACAACACAGCATGCCACACTCCTTCTCTGCACACACTATTACGGCTTCATCTGCTGCTTTGTTGTATCCTTTGCATGCCTCTGCTCTCTCACAGAGCTCCATGTCACCTCCGTGGTGTTTCTACACAGAGTAAGAGCTTGTCACTACAAGCCCATGTGAGCGCAGTTTAAAAATTCCACCAGCAAATCTGTAATAACTTTGTTTACCCGATCGGCTACATAGAACAATTTACTTTCATGAGTTCATTTAAATGTATTGATCATGTTATGTATAACAGAGGCACCTCGCGTAAGCTTTTCATGGCCCACATACAGTATCAGTGCTCTCTGGTCTGACGTACCTAGAAATAAAGTGGTCTTGTTATGGTGAAGCTGTTGCTAGGTTACAAGGGCTCTGTGTTGCTGGCATAGCTGTGTGTGTAGTGGGCGCAGACCACTTAATATTTGTAACCGTGATGAATTAGAATTCACTTATTATTGATTTCCATTCATAACCTATCAATAACATTTTTAGCTTTCTAATAAATCACCAAGATCACTTTGTGGGATAACGGAATAGTTTCTGTTGAGATGAATCTGGGAGCATTAACCTGTGATGGATGAGAAAAATACGGGCTGCTGATAACCCGTCAGGTTATCTCGGAGGCCTTGCAGAGAATTGTTTGGCTGTGGAGGTGGTTTGTGTTGATAAGAATTGAATCTCCACATCTAAGGAATTGGCATAGAGGGAGCAGGTGGTTACTTTCTGGGTGTCCTTTCCTCAGCTGCGGCTTAAGGGTTTGAGAGCTAGGCTCTTGCGCTGCTACCTCATACCTTGGGTTTGAAATCATTCTCCTTGTAATGATGTCAGTCACAGACAGGATGTGAGCACTGCAGCCCACACAGCTTTGAAGTGCACCAAGATCCAATCTTGCCCTAACAGACCGAGCTTCCCTTTAGATGGCAGAGGCAGACAGACAGTTTAGGCTGCTGCAGAAATGTGGTCTTCATTTGGGTGGCGTGGGGCCAAGGGCTTGCTGGAAATGGTCTGCCTCGTTAGACAATTCGCCTGCAAGGGGCTGGAAAATCTGCCCCGCTAACCATTATCCCCTAATAAAGACAATGGCATGAGGACGGAGGCAGGCAGGCAGGTTGAGCGGCTCTTGCTGTATGTGTGTCAGGTTTGTAAGCATGTGTGGGTTTGTATCTGTCAAAGTGAGAGTAGGGGTGGCTTAAGTTTTCCATTTCTGTTGAGTTGTGTTTGAAGAAGAAAAAAAGGCAGAACTTTCGTTTCTGCATGTTTTGTTTATGTATAGACCGTTCTAATATTTTGACAAGAGAATTTTAAATAGAGTTCTTACTTCTCAACATTACGGCAGCACTCACAAATGAATGGAAACAAAAGGTATAATACCAATGGACTAAAAAAAGCAGTAGATTTACTTTTATAGGCTTGTAATAGTGTTGCAAGTATACTTTTCTGTAAGTGGCATGTTTGATGTCTTGCTGTAAACTGAGTTTGTGCCATATGATCATTTATTGTAGTGCAATTTGCTCACTTACCATTTAGTACATTAAGTTACTTTTAACTACTTTATAAATAAATTAACAGATAAGTAAAGTTTTTTTTAAGAAACAGTGTATATGTATTTTATTTAAAAAGGAAATGTCATTGCTAGAGCGCCAACTAGTCTTTGTTTATAGGACACTTTCCAAGTGCACTGTCATTACAAACATACACAAATGCAGACAGAATTATTAGACCTCCCTATGAAAATTTAGTTTTAGTTCAGAAGTATTTCCAAAGTACTGTTAAACAGAGAAAGGAATTTTTAACACAGCTTGTCCAAACAGCCTAGCCTTATTTTGGATGCTTACATTCAATGCAATGCCAAACTACCCGGTCAAAATGATTAGCTCCTCTGACGTCAGTAGTCAACCGTGTGTACTGTTTTTTTTGCTGGTTAACAGCCTGCAGTCGTTGGTTGTCGTTTTCAACAAGCTTCTCTGATGTTTCCTGAGCAATCCCAGCCTGTTATGTGATTATCTTCTGGCATGGACATTGGTCTTCAGTTCATCACACAGATTTTCAGTAGAATTCAAGTCAGGGTTTTGCACAGGTCAGTCAATAATGCTCACGTTGGTCTTCTGGAGGTAGCTCTTCACCGTATGTTTTGGGTCGTTGCCATGTTGAAAGTAGCCAAAGCACTCTAGTTTCATCTCATTAGACCTGCACAGTCCATTGTTGTGCTTGCTTCTAGTTATTGTTCTCCCAAATGGGTTAAGTCATTCACTGGTGCCCCGGTAGTCGTTCTAGAGTCTTTACACACCAACTCTCACTAGTTTTCTTTCAGAGGCTTTGAAATCTTTAACTTCTTACTTCGACCAGGCTTCTTCTGTACTCTGTGACTCTTTCAATTTCTTTTGATTTCTGTTCTTAACACCAGGAAATGTTGTGATAACTTTTTATATGGGTCTTCTACTTTGTGAGCATCAATAGTCTTTTTTCCTCAAGTCTAAACCAATTTCTTTTGTTTTTCTGAAATATTTCTTGTGACAAATAGAAACAATTTCTGTTTTCCAAAGAAAACTAGTATGTTTAGAAATGCTATGTTGAAAACTCTTTGCTCTTTTAAAAAAGCACTTGGGAAGATATTGCCAGAAAAATTCCATTTCATTGATTGTCCTAAACAATCAACATTTAGGACTGGGGCAGCATATCTGTTTTATTCATAACATTATTCATTCTGCACTTTACCACATGAGATACTTCAATGTCTTTAACTGGTAAGAAGACCTGCTAATACTACATAATTTTAGGAGTGGGCTACACACACTTACTAAGAAAGACACTGTTTTCAAAACACTGAGATTAGCCTCGGTGAATCTAACGGCTTCAAAGCCGACAGGCGGTATAGCTCCGGGCAGACTGTGACACTCGCTTTCTATACACAAAAATGGAAACACAGAGAGACCATGTGCAAAAGCAGCTAGATGGTAGCCCGAGGCTCAGCCAAGAAAGGCTACGTCAGACTGATGCAAGACAAAGTAGAGATGACGGTTAATGTTTAACTCTGTGTGAAATTTATTTAGATAATTTTGTCTGGGTAAATTCCTGATATAGCCACTAGATAGCAGACACTCAACCATAAAAAAATCAAACAAACAAACGAAAAATATAAAATGTGAATTTGAATAACCTAAAGGAGGGACATGCTTGTTTAAATCTAGACATTGCTAGCATGGAGACTCAACAGAGTGTAACTTTTATTAAGCAAAGCAATGCAAGCGTCATCCGTCTCACTTGAGGTTGTTTGTATAAAAATGATAGGTTTATATATCCATCTGTGCGTATAAATGTAGCCTGAATCATGTTTAAGACTACAAGTGTATTCCGTTTCTTTGCCTCTAAGTACCAAAAACGTGTTTTAGAATAGAATAGAATAGAAAATCTCTTTATTGTTATTGTACATGTACATCATCAGCCGTTTGGTTTGGTTTATGCTTTCACACCAGTGGCTCTTTAATTAGCTGCAAATCTAACAGTTGAATAATCAAATAGTATCAAAAAAGTTGTTGTACGCTGCCCATAACATCCCCACAGTGTCGGAGTCTCTCAGTGGTGCACGGGCTTTATTGTCTCAAACATGCACAGCCGGATACTGATCGCTGTTCTTGCTGATAGAGTTTGTGGCTCTCTCATAGCTTCTCTTATCTTCTTACTCTTTTTTGCACTTCATCACTGCACCATATTTCTTTAACCAAAAAACCAAAACCTTATTTGTAAACTTTGGTTTCATCTTCCTCTTTGCGATGAGGCCCACAAGTTCGATCGTAACAGAAAAGGTAGAAGGGAACCTGTATGACGCTCTCATTGTCGCTGTGCTGGCAGCCTTATGCCACTGTGGATTCGCTTCTACTGAAGCCTTTACTGATATTTGCTTTAGAATATCTAAATATTCTATATGTGCCTGTAGGTCACTCTCGTTCTTTGAGAATAACTTTTAAAAGAGGAGAACTTTATAATGATTCGTCAGCCCCTTAAGGGAAGTGTCTCTGTTTGAATAGTACTGACAAAAATGAAGGAGATGTGATGTTATCTTTATCACAGTACACTAGAACTGATCATGTCATCCATTTTCTTAATAAACAGCATGATTGAGCTTTTTTTTTTAAGCAATACCCCTGAAGAATAACACAAACGAAATGCTGTGAAGGCTCATGCCTGAAATCGGTGGTGGGTAATGACCCAGACCATATTTTACTGTGGATCTTGACACGACACCAGTGACTCTGAGCTGAACCCCACTGAGGTTCAGAGTTCATCAGAAAGCATTTTTCATGGGGCATGGTTTGTTTTCCAACTGAAGAGGAGTTACGCTGCGTGAAGTTTTTTTTTTTTTTGTTTGATTCATGGGGTTGTAACACTTCCTGTAGGCTGAAAACAAGTATACAAGTCTGGAGTAAAAATAGTAAGCTACTACATAAAAGAACACCCATACACACCACTCAGAAAAATTCGTAATTCACCGCAGATCGACTCTCAGTCAGCATTACATAAGGAAAAAGAAATGCGAGTCTCTGAAAACAAAAGTGAGCATGAAAACCCACATTAGAGAACATTTTTTCATTTCTCCTGCAGCTGCTATTGGAGTGATTTTTTTTCCATTTAATTTTAATGAGCTTTTCCTGTTTGATTATTTAAAAAAAAAAAAAATCCTGGACGTGCTCGCTCCCTGATGGCACTAACTGTGACTCAGCCTCTGAAAGGCTCCACTGTGAGGATCAACACTGCTTACCACACTTTGCAGCACCCACGTTGAGCAGAGTGAGCCGAGATCAGCCGCATCACATGCAACTCGGCTAATCTGACATTAGAACAAAGACCGCGATATCAAGTAAAGGGGCCAAAGTTTGGGAGCCCTAAGAAGCAAATAGTAGCAGGGTGAGCGTCACATTTTCTACCGTGTGTGTTCTCTATTATCTTTTCCAAGTAAACAGGTTCCTGAAACGTGTGCAGACAGATGGAGAGGTTGTGTTACAGTCTGCTTGGTGTTAAGTGAAAGATGTGTTGAGGGATACGCTAAGCCACCAGCATTGGCCTTAGGAGGCCCATTTCTGAGAGACGGAGAGAGACGGTCAGGAAATTGAGCCCATATGATGTTTTTTCACCGTCACAAAGGAGATTTAAGAGAGAGACAAGGGGAGCCAAGAGAGCTGCGTTTGTGTGGGAGTCATGGAAAACAGGAGAAAAAGAGAGAGTGCAACCCAGGGCAGGAGAAGAGAACGAGGGAGCGAAAGGAGGCGAGTGTTAGAGACGTTATCTTTACTCGTGCATTTCTGTGCGTGACATCATGCCAGTTGAAGAGCTTCACGGGAGAAGTTGAACTCTTAAATGAATATTTTGCTCTGTATTTGTGTTTCATAACAAATATTTCCACAAAAACTATTAGACCTTGGATTTCAGCCATAGAAACACTCTGTCTTTTGAGGTTAATGTATTTTGTGGCATTAAACTGAAACATCACTGTCTCTCTTACGCCCACAGTCACCCAAAGTGCGCCCTTACACTGCGATGGACGGCGTCCCCTTTTTCCTCAGCAGAGTTAAACCGGAACCTCCCGAAGACCTGCTCGCCCACGACCTGCACTTCCACACGCAGACCGAGCCCGTCGACCTGTCCATCAACAAACCCCGCCCCTCCTCTTCATCCGCCACCACGATTTCATCGTCATCCCCCCTCAGATCCGCCTTCTCCCCGTCTTCGTTATCGTCGTCATCCTCCTCCTCCTCCTCTCCATCTGTTATCACCTCAGCCTCGTCGGTGCTCACATCGGGCCCTCTGGTTGCCCCGGGAACTGGGGTGAGAGGTCAGCCATATTTGCACATCCTGCACTCTGTGCCTCCGCCTCCATCCAGCCCTCTGAGCCTGCAGGGAGCCGGGAAGCTCGCCAGCCATGTTCACCGCATCCCAGTTGTGGTACAGTCACTGCCCCTCATGTACACCACTGCCGTTCGATCACCCTCCAGCCTCAACAATGCCATCATGCTACCTCTGCTGGATGAGGCCAAAAGCCAGGGCAAAGGTGAGACCCTGCTCGCTGAATTTGCTCTATATTTATACAGCTAACTTTGTTCTGTTGGGATTTCTATTAAAGCTCTGTCATTATTTTAATAAGATACACTGCAAAAAGTTCAACTATGATTCAGGTTTTGAACTGCTGCCTTTTTTATTACATTTATATTTACTGAGCAGCCTGGGCCCCTGTGAAACTCTAGCCCCACATCTTGTTTTGGTGTATTTTGCATGTTCTAAGACGTACTTATAAGGAAATGTTGCCCTATGGTGTAACAAAGTCAAAATGATAAACATTTTAATGTTAGATTCAATAAAGAGAAGTTACATATTCTAGCTTCTCCTGGCCATTACATTACAAATACTGTGTAGGCTTACCACAACCTAAAGCCACTGAGGGTTTTTGGACTTCTATCCTCTACCTCTGCAGTAGAGCTATATCTCGAGGGGG